ATAAAAAAAAATTCCAAAGGAATTCATTCCCTCGAAAATTTTGTTTTTCGTGATATGAAATTTGCAAATGAATTCACTCCTTTGCATAAATCCATCACAAATCATGTTACAAATTTCCTAACCAGTAATTCATTTCGAATTTCTACACTTTTATCCCAAACAATTACAAACTAACAATATAAATTCATTTTGAATTAATATGTATGTCACAAAGAATTACAAACTAAAAATATAGATTCATTTCAAATTTTTATACCTGTCCCTAACAATGACAAATTAACAATATAAAAAGTTATTCTAGCTACAATCCAAACAGTAAACATCGTATAATACAAAAGAAACTTTGTCTCCAGTACCACCAACATGTATCTTATGGTATGGAGAGCTAATTGCTTTCGATTTCAAAATAGTTCGGAACTTGAGGTCACGCAGCCAGAAGATGTTGTAAGTATTATACAGTTTAAACTAATACTACAATACCAATTTGAATGTTTATAGAGATGTAATGCCCCGATTTTGGAGTATATAAAATAATATTATTATAGCAAATAAATATTTTTATAATATTTTGGGATCAAGAAATTAATATTCTGAAACAAATTTTATTCCTAATTTGTATATTGGTTATACTTATAAAGACTGTTAAACGGATAAATATCGATAAGATAAATTATATTCAAATATATAATATAATAATAATATAATAATAATAAAAAAAAGGATAATGTTGAAGGATAATAATAATAATAATAATGATAATCAATGAGAATGATAATAATAATAATAATTATATAATAAAATATATTAATAATATAAATATATATATTCATATATAGAAAGAAGTCAAACCTTACCTGTGAAGAAAAGTAAGCAGACATCCAGGGAGGAAAGGAAAGACGAGAAGAGAAAGGAAAAAGAAAAAAAAAGATTTAGATTTAGCCGTTCGATTTCGATTCTGACTTCGGTATTGTATTCCTTGTTATACGTAGAATTTAATTATAGATTTTAATATGAATTTCAATATTGGGGATATTAAATTAGAAATTCTTCAAAAATTTATAATTGGCTATTTGGCTATTTAATCGACTAATTTCTTTAGTTGATAGTCTATTTGTAATCCTAGCGTTATATTTTGAAAATTTTGTATCGATCCGAGCCGAATTGAAAACGGTAGTGTACTACACTTGCCTTTTTATTCATATTTTTAAGTATTTTTTATTTAATAATCGGGCGATATAAATATTATGAGGTATAAGAGTTTTATAGTTAGAATATCGTATTCTACTAAATATAAAAGTTTGAAACCCAACGAGCTAATTATAGAAATTAACTTTTGAATAAGCAGGTAGCTCCTATGAATAAGCATATAGCTCAGCTGATTTGAGTAATAATGGGGCAGGTGTACATTGGAGGAGATTTGGGTGAGATTGCAAAAGCGATAGAGTGTCGATAAGAAGTGAGCAGTAAGGAATTAAATCTAATTTTAAGAAATTAGGTATGCATGTTGCATGCGATTCTGATTAATATGCTTATGTGATATTATGTGAATCATTTTGTCAATGCATGTATATATATATGTGTGCGTATGCATGTGGGAGACTTCACGGTTTATGATATTTGATATACGTATTTCATCGCGTAGGTGAATTTATGAAAATGAGGATATGTGAGCTGTCTCACCAGGCCTTTTGGTAAATTCACTTATTTGGCATGTTGCACACATATTGCACGCTTTATCGGATATGTTTTATGGATTTATCATTTAGTCGCCGTGTGCGGTAGTGCTAGGCGAGGGCATCATCTGGGGTTAGGATGTTCGACCAATGTACTGTAACACTTTGGCAATCGTGGACGATAGTAGTCGGACAACGGGGTGACTTAGTCGCACGGTCATTCGGGGATTAGACCCATGGTAGTTGAGACGTATTTGGTCTAATCATTCGTGTTACGTGTTGTTCCACTCATTGGGCTGGCCACTGGTGAGGTCTACTAGTAGTTTAGGATCATATGCCAAACTCCAAACGTGATCCCTTTATGGTGTGCGAGGAGGAGTAGAGTTTCCGGGTTTCCCTTGGGTGATTCCAAGTTTCACGGATTCTACTACATTACATGGGATAGGGCTAGTCAGTGGGGGTCCTATATTCGCTATCACAGACTATGGGGCGTCTTGTGGTTAATGGGGACAACGTTCGGCTATCCATGTATTGATTGTGGGAGTCGTAAGGTGGGTATATTGAAGTGACCGGATGACCGTTAGATTATTATGGGTTTATCAGGTCCTTCCTTGAGCCGAGGATTTTCCGGCTATTTATTGATGATTGTCTAGTGTGCTTGTTATTACGGGGCCGAGGTTATTCCGGTTGCTCACTTAGACAGATGTATTGAGCCTATTATTATGGAGCCGAGGTTATTCCGGCTGCTTACTTCGGCGGATGTATATATGTATGGATGGGCATTGTTGTCGAGTTTGATATCTTTGTTGCATCATTTCATTACTGGGATGACATGACATGTATTTTATGAGTGACGGGAATTAGACATCGTTTTAAAAAGGTATGGAATGCCATATTTCACGTTAGTTCTTAAAATGGATTTAATTCTAGACTACTTTTAAGAAAAATATTTGTTTCAGGTATGCATGGCACCTCCGGGACAGGGGATGTCTCGGTATATAGATAACGGGCTAAGTGAGTGAACTTACATCTATTGTATTATATGTAAATTTTTAACCGGAAAAACCTTTTGTTTAGGAGTGTATTTTGTAAATATCCATAAATAAGATTTTTTTATATAATAATACGCTTTTATGGTTAATTTTAGCCTTAAAACTGTATTGTATGGCCCGAAGTAGGAGATGACGACCCATGATGCAGTGTGACGGTAGCATTTCCAGTATGAGCCAACTGGGGGTGTTACAAGTTGGTATCAGAGCATAGGTTTGGTAGACTTTGGCTCTTGTGATTAAAAATATTTTTAAAATAATAATGATTGTGAATTGGTTTCGGTGAGGTTTGGTTTTGTGGGTGCATTCATGTTAATGCGGTTTATGCTTCAATGTTATACCTGGTTTAGTTGTCTTGCTTAGTTGATATTGAATCAGGGAAGTCGGGGGCAGTATGTCGAATTCTCAAGGTGATGGTTTACGTAAGGCTATTCGAGGCCCAGAGCTAAATCCTTTGTCTGATGAGTCACAATATCATGTGCCAGAGCATGTACCTATAGAGGCACCTAGTCTAGATTTCTTCCAATAGCCATAAACTGCGATGATGCCTCAATAGAGGAGTTTTATTGATGCTGTGATGCGACATAATCCGCCAACATATTTTGGTTTCATTGAGCCTGGAGTTCTTGAGTTCTGGGTTGAGAAGATGGAAAAAATATTTTGTGTTGTTCGGGTTCCACCAGATCAACGAGCCAATATCGGGCCCTATTTCTTGGAAGGTCGAGCAAATCGGTGGTGGTTAGGTGAGGAAGCTGCGGGAGTGGACCAAGTGGATATGACTTGGGATGAGTTCAAAGCAAAATTAAAAGCTAGGTTTACACCGTCATATGTTCGAAAAGCAAAGAAGCAAGAGCTGCTGGACTTGAAGTAGGGTTCGATGTTAGTCGAGGACTATTTTGTAAAGTTCAATGAGTTGAAGATGTATGTTCCTGACTACTTTTCCTATGAGCGAGATAGAATTGACCATTTTGTAGATGGGTTGCAGTAGAGGATTCAAGAAGCTTTAGTTGTGTTGGATATCAATTCGTTGTATGAGGCTTACGAGCGTGCTGCTCGATTCTATCAGAAGCAGGAAGTCAGGCAGAAGAACAATGAGAAGGAAACGGGGTATCAACATCAATTTCGAGATAAATGAAAAGCTAAGGTCGAGGACGAACCAAAGGGTAAAAATAAATTGTGGCAAATGTTTAGGTCTGGCCCATCGTATAAGGGGATTTCGATTAAAGAACCGAGTCAAGAGAGGTTTCAACAATTGGGGTTTGTTTGTCGATGTTGTGGAACAAGTCATTCAAGTACCCGTTGTGATAAAGTTCCATTGAAATGTTTTAAATATGTTGGAGTGATAAAAACCCCATATAAGGGTGTACCATTGAGCTCCCCATGGTTAAGTTGTCATTTCATGAATCGTTAGACAATGGATACATTTATCCAAGCATGTCACCTTGGATGTAAGCTCCAGTTTTATTTGTGAAAAAGAAAAAGATGGAAGCTTGAGGTTGTGTATTGACTACCGTGGGCTGAATAAAGTCACGGTAAAGAACAACTATCCTCTTCCGAGGATTGATGATCTATTTGATCAACTGAGAGGTGCAAGTATATTCTCCAAGATTGACTTGAGGTCTGGATATTATCAACTAAGGGTTGCAGAACATGATATTCTTAAGACAGCTTTTTGTACTAGATACGGTCGTTATGAATTTACGGTTATATCCTTTGGATTGACCAATGCCCCGGCTGCGTTTATGGAATTGATTAATCAAATTTTTCAACCATACCTCGATCCGTTTGTGGTGGTATTTATCGATGATATCTTGGTATATTCTCCAGATAAAAAGATACATGCAAAAAATTTGCGTGTGACACTAAATACACTGTGTGCAAGAAAGTTATATGCCAAGTTATCCAAATGTGACTTTGGGTTGAAAAAGGTTGCTTTCTTGGGGCATGTAGTTTTTGGTAAGGGTATCTCAGTAGATCCTTCTAAAATTGCAGCAATCTCAGATTGGCCAAGACCTACCAATCAATCAGAAGTAAGAAGATTTTTGGGTTTGGCAGGGTATTACCGAAGATTCGTTCTTGATTTTTCGAAGGTTGTGAAGCCATTAACTAATTTTCTAAAGAAGGACATAATGATTAATTAGGATCGTGAGTGTGATTCCTCTTTCCTAAAATTGAAACATCGATTAACTTCAGCACCTGTTTTGGCTTTACCAGTAGAGGGTGAGGAATTTGAAGTTTATAGTGAAGCTTCGAAAAAAAGGGATTGGGATGCGTCTTAATGCACAATCAAAGAGTTATTGTTTATGTGTCATGTCAACTAAAACCTCACGAAGAGAATTATCCTACACATGACTTGGAGATGGCAGCAGTTGTGTTTGCTTTGAAGATTTGGAGGCACTATCTTTATGGTACCCATTGTAAAATGTTTACTGACCATCATAGTCTGAAATATATCTTCACCCAAAGAGAATTAAATTTAAGACAAAGAAAATGGTTAGAATTGGTGAAGGATTGTGATCTCGAAATTGTATATCATGAAGGCAAAGAAAATGTTGTAGCTGATGCCTCGAGTCGAAAACCAAGGCATAAGTTGGGTTCTATGTTAGTTGCCGATGAACTATGTCAAGATTTAGCACAGATGAAAATTGAACTACTTGGATGGGGCATGACGTGGGGATATTTACAAATAATGCAAGTTGAGCCTGAAATTTACGATCACATTAGAGTGGCTCGAATGGAAGATAATAAAATGGTCGAGTTGGCTATAGAAGTTCAGTACGGTCATATTCAAAACTTTAATATTGTTTCAGATAGGAGTCTTCGATTTCATGGAATGTGGTGTATCCCAAAGGACCAAAGTGATTTGAAGGAGCAAATTATGAGTGAGGCTCATAATATACCATATTCAGTGCATCCATGACGGATTAAAATGTATCAAGACTTAATTCGAAATTTTTGGTGGAAGGGTATGAAGAAGGATGTAGCGAAATTTGTTGCACAATGTTTAAACTGCCAAAAGGTGAAAGTATAACATCATAGACCAATGGGGTTGCTACAACCTTTAGAAGTTCCACTCTGGAAATGGGATTCTATTGCAATGGATTTTGTGACAGGACTTCCAAGGGCGAAGTCGGGAACAGATGCAATTTGGATGATTATAGATAGATTGACCAAGTCAATAGTGTTCATCCCAGTACGTATGACTTGAAGTATGCATAAGTTGGCCAAATTATATGTTGATCATGTGGTTAAACGACACGGTATTCCTGAGGTAATCATATTGGATCGTGATCCACGTTTCCAATCTTGATTTTGGCAAAAATTGCAAGAAGCCTTTGGTACTCAGCTGCATATGAGCACTGCATTCCATCCAATGACTGATGGTTAACCAGAGAGAACTATCCGTATTCTGGAAGATATGCTAAGAGCTTGTGTAATAGAATTTCAAGGAAGTTGGGAGGACCACTTGGATTTAGTGGAATTCTCATATAATAATAGTTATCAAACAAGTATTGGAATGACTCCTTTTGAAGGTCTTTATGGACGAAAATGCAGGACTCCTTTAAGTTGGGATGACATTAGTGATCGACTGATATTAGGTCCAGAAATGATCAAAGAATCAAAAAATAAGATTCGAGTTATCAGGGAGAAGATGAAGATAGCTCAAGATTGCCAAAAAAGTAATGCCGATAAAGCCCGAAGTGAAGGTCAATTTCAAAGTGGAGATTTCATCCTGGTGAAAGAATCTCCAATGATGAGTATTAGAAGGTTTGGAATTAAAGGAAAATTGAGTCCGCTTTATGTTGGACCGTATGAAATCCTCGATCGAGTTGGGGATTGAGCTTATCGGTTAGCACTTCCAAATTCCATGAAACGAATTCATAATATGTTCCATGTATCAAAACTTTGTAGGTATGTCGTAGATCCTTCTCATATTTTATCTCCGGATGAGTTAGAGCTAAATGAGGATCTTTCGTATGAGGAAATGCCTATTTGGATCATGGACACAAAGGTTCGAACTATGAGGAACCGAAATATTTGTATGGTGAAAGTAATGTGGTCCCGGCATGGAGCAGAAGACGCCACGTGGGAAGTAGAACAAGAGATGTTCAAAGCATACCCATATTTATTTAATTAAGTAGTGTTGTTATGCGTTTGAGTTTAGATTTCGGGGACGAAATCTTTTTAAGGGGGAGTGAATTATAATGCCCCGATTTTGGAGTGTATGAAGTAATATTATTATAGCAAATAAATATTTTTATAATATTTTTGGATCAAGAAATTAATATTCTGAAACAAATTTTATTCATATTTTCTATATTGGTTATAATTATGGAGATTGTTAAACGGATAAATATCGATAAGGATAAATATATAATATAATAATAATAAGAAATAGGATAATGGTGAAGGATAATAATAATAATAATAATGATAATAGATGATAATGATAATAATAATATATAATACAATATATTAATAATATAAATATATATATATTTATATTCATATTTAGAAAGAAGCCAAACCTTACCTGTGAAGAAAAGGAAGCAGACATCCAGGGAGGAAATGAAAGATGAGAAGAGAAAGGAAAAAGAGAAAAAAAAAAAAAGATTTGGCCGTCTGATTTCAATTCCGACTTCGGTACTGTATTTCTTGTTATACGTAGAATTTAATTATGAATTTTAATATGAATTTCGATATTGGGGATATTAAATTAGAAATTCTTAAAAAATTCATAATTGGCTATTTGGCTATTTAATCGACTAATTTCTTTAGTTGATAGCCTATTCGTAGTCCTAGCATTATATTTTGAGAATTTTCTATCGATCCGAGCCGAATTGAAAAAGGTAGTGTATTGTACCTGCTGTTTATTCATATTTTTAAGTATTTTTTATTTAATAATTGGGCGATATAAATATTATGAGGTATAAGAGTTTTATAGCTAGAATATCGTATTCTACTAAATATAAAAGTTTGAAACCCAACGAGCTAATTATAGAAATTAGCTTTTGAATAAGCAGGTAGCTCCTATGAATAAGCATGTAGCTCAGCTGATTTGAGTAAATAATGGGGCAGGTGTACGTTGGAGGAGATTTGGGTGAGATTGCAAAAGCTATGGAGTGTCGATAAGAGGTAAGCAACAAGAATTAAATTTAATTTTAAGAAATTAGGTATGCATGTTGTATGCGATTCTGATTAATATGCTAATGTGATATTATGTGAATCATTTTGTCAGTGCATGTATATATTTATATATATATATGTATATGCATGTGGGAGACTTTATGGTTTATGATATTTGATATACGTATCGCGTAGGTGAATTTATAAAAATGAGGATAGGTGAGCTGTCTCACCAGCCCTTTTCGGTAAATTCACTTATTTAGCATGTTGCACACATATTGCACGGATTGGATATATTTTATGGATCTATCGTTTAGTCGCCGTGTGCGGTAGTGCTAGGCGAGGGCATCATCTGGGGTTAGGATATTCGACCCCGATGTACCGTAACACTTTGGCGATAGTGGACGATAGTAGTCAGACAACTGGGTGACTTAGTCGCACGATCATTCAGGATTTATACCCATGGTTGTTGAGACGTATTTGGTCTAATTGTTCATGTTAGATGTTGTTCCACTTATTGGGCTGGCCACTGGTGAGGTCTACCGGTAGTTTAGGATCATATGCCAAACTCCAAACGTGATCCCTTTATGGCGCGCGAGGAGGAGTAGAGTTTCCGGGTTTCCCTTGGGTGATTCCAAGTTGCACGGATTCTACTACATTACACGAGATAGGGCTAGTCAGTGGGGGTCCTATCTTCGCTATCACAGACTATGGGGCGTCTTGTGGTTAATGGCGACAACGTTCGGCTATCTATGTATTGATTGTGGGAGTCGTAAGCTGGGTATATGGAAGTGACCGGATGACCGTTATAGTATTATGGGTTTATCAGGTCCTTCCTTAAGGGAATACAATTAGTGTTTTTGTTTCTTGACTGCCTTTTCTTTTTATTATATTGTACTATATGGGATTTATACTCTGTACTCCATAGTTCTTATTACAGTGGTTTTCGTATTTGTTACATAGTGTTTTAAGTACTATAAAAACACTTCTATTTCTTCACTGTTTTTTCTTTTTATCATATAGCACTTTACGAGATTATACTTTGTGCTCTAGAGTTATAATTACAGTGCTTTTCGTGTAAGTTAAATAGTGTTTTAAGGGAATACAGTTAATGCGTTTGTTTTGTACTGCCTTTTCTTTTTATTATATTGTACTTTATGGGATTTATACTCTGTGCTCTATAGTTCTTATTACAGTGCTTTTCGTATTTGTTACATAGTGTTTTAAGGTACTATAAATAGTGCTTTTTTTTTCTTCACTATTTTTTCTTTTTATTTTATAGCACTTTATGAGACTATACTTTCTCCTATAGAGTTATAATTACAGTGCTTTTCGTGTACATTAAATAGGGCTTTAAGGGAACACAGTAGTTCTTTTGTTTCTTCACTGCCTTTTCTTTTTATTATATTGTACTTTATGGAATTTATACTCTGTGCTCTATAATTCTTGTTACAGTGCTTTTCGTATTTGTTACATAGTTTTTTAAGGTACGATAAATAGCGCCTTTGTTTCTTTATTATTTTTCCTTTTTTTTGCATAACACTTTTTTAGATTATACTTTGTGCTCTAGAGTTATAATTTCAGTGCTTTTTGTGTACGTTAAATAGTGGTTTAAGGGAATACAGTTAGTGCTTTGTTTCTTGACTATCTTTTATTTTTATTATATTGTACTTTATGGAATTTATACTCTGTGCTCTATAGTTCTCATTACAGTGTTTCTCGTATTTGTTACATAGTGTTTTTAGTACTATAAAAACGCTTTTGTTTCTTCTCTGTTTTTTCTTTTTATTATATAGCACTTTATGAGATTATACTTTGTGCTCTAGAGTTGTAATTACTGTGCTTTTCGTGTACGTTAAATAGTGTTGGAAGGAAATACAGTTAGTGCTTTTGCTTCTTGACTACCATTTCTTTTTATTATATTGTTCTTTATGGAATTTATACTCTGTGCTCTATAGTTCTCATTACAGTGCTTTTCGTATTTTTTACATAGTGTTTTAAGTACTATAAAAGCGCTTTTGTTTCTTAACTGTTTTTTCTTTTTATTCTATAGCACTTTATGAGATTATACTTTGTGATCTAGAGTTATAATTACAATGCTTTTCGTGTACGTTAAATAGTCTTTTAAGGGAATACAGTTAGTGCTATTTTTTCCTGACTGCCTTTTCTTTTTATTATATTGTACTTTATGGAATTTATACAATGTGATCTATAGTTCTCATTACAGTGCTTTTCGTATTTGTTACATAGTGTTTTAAGGTACGATAAATAGCACTTCTTTTTCTTCATTATTTTTCCTTTTTTTTAAATAACACTTTATAAGATTATACTTTGTGCTGTAGAGTTATAATTTCAGTGCTTTTTGTGTACGTTAAATAGTGCTTTAACGGAATACAATTAGTGCTTTTGTTTCTTGACTATCTTTTGTTTTTATTATATTGTACTTTATGGAATTTATACTCTGCGCTCTATAGTTCTCATTACAGTGTTTCTCGTATTTGTTACATAGTGTTTTAAGGTACTACAAATAGCACTTTTGTTTATTCACTGTTTCTCCGTTTTTTTATATAGCACTTTATGAGATTAGACTTTGTGCTCTAGAGTTATAATTACGGTGCTTTTCGTGTATGCTAAATAGTATTTTAAGGGAATACTGTTAGTGCTTTTGTTTTTTACTGCCTTTTCTTTTTATTATATTGTACTTTATGGGATTTATACTCTGTGCTCCATAGTTCTTATTAGAGTGCTTTTCGTATTTGTTACATAGTGTTTTAAGGTACTATAAAAGCGCTTTTGTTTTTTCACTGTTTTTTCTTTTTATTATATAGCACTTTATGAGATTATACTTTGTGCTCTAGAGTTATAATTACAGTGCTTTTCGTGTACGTTTAATAGTGTTTTAAGGGAATACAGTTAATGCGTTTGTTTTGTACTGCCTTTTCTTTTTATTATATTGTACTTTATGGGATTTATACTCTCTGCTCTATAGTTTTTATTCCAGTGCTTTTCGTATTTGTTACATAGTATTTTAAGGTACTATAAATAGTGCTTTTTTTTCTTAATTGTTTTTTCTTTTTATTTTATAGCACTTTATGAGACTATACTTTCTCCTCTAGAGTTATAATTACAGTGCTTTTCGTGTACATTAAATAGGGCTTTAAGGGAACACAGTTAGTACTTTTGTTTCTTCACTGCCTTTTCTTTTTATTATATTGTACTTTATGGAATTTATACTCTGTGGTCTATAGTTCTTGTTAGAGTGCTTTTCGTATTTCTTACATAGTGTTTTAAGGTACGATAAATAGCACTTTTGTTTCTTAATTATTTTTCCTCTTTATTATATAACACTTTTTGATATTATACTTTGTGCTCTAGAGTTATAATTTCAGTTCTTTTTGTGTACGTTAAATAGTTGTTTAAGGGAATACAGTTAGTGCTTTTGTTTCTTGACTATATTTTCTTTTTATTATATTGTACTTTATGGAATTTATACTATGTGCTCTATAGTTCTCATTAAAAAGCCTTTCGTATTTGCTATATAGTGTTTTAAGGTACTATAAATTACGCTTTTGTTACTTCACCTTTTTTTCTTTTTATTATATAGCACTTTATGAGATTATACTTTGTGCTCTAGAGTTATAATTACAATGCTTGTCGAGTACGTTAAATAGTGTTTTAAGGGAATACAGTTAGTGCTTTTGTTTCTTGACTGCCTTTTCTTTTATTATATTGTACTTTATGGGATTTATACTATGTGCTCTATAGTTCTCATTACAGTGCTTTTCGTATTTGATACATAGTGTTTTAAGGTACTATAAATAGCATTTTTGTTACTTCACTGCTTTTCTTTTTATTATATAGTACTTTATGAAATTATACTTTATGCTCTAGAATTATAATTACAGTGCTTTTCGTGTACGTTAAATAGTGCTTTAAGGTAATATAGTTAGTGCTTTTGTTTTTTGACTACCCTTTTTTTTATTATATTTTACTTTATGGAATTTATAATATGTGCTCTATAGTTCTCATTACAGTGTTTTTCGTATTTTTTACCTAGTGTTTTAAGGTACTATAAATAGCGCTTTTGTTTCGTCACTGTTTTTTCTTTTTATTATATAGCACTTTATGAAATTATACTTGTGCTATAGAGTTATAATTACAGTGCTTTTTGTGTACGTTAAATAGTGCTTTAAGGGAACACAGTTAGTGTTTTTGTTTCTTCACTGCCTTTTCTTTTTATTATATTGTACTTTATGGAATTTATACTATGTGCTCTATAGTTCTTATTACAGTGCTTTTCGTATTTGTTACGTAGTGTTTTAAGGTATGATAAATAGCGCTTTTCTTTCTTCATTGTTTTTGCTTTTTATATATAACACTATATGACATTATACTTTGTGCTCTAGAGTTATAAGAACAGTGCTTTTCGTGTACGTTAAATAGTGCTTTAAGGTAATTGATGCGAACTTGCCAAGGATAACAGTTCGGATCGAATTCCACAAGAATAAGTAACAAGAATATTGTAGATTTGGATAGAGTAAGGGATGGATGGCTATATATATATATATATCTATATTAATGGAGATAAACTGGACTCTCTTGAATTGAGAGGTAGTCGGGAAGGCAACACGAGAGATCAAGCTCACGTATCACAATCCTCTAAACAAGCTGACAATACAAGCTAAGGCAAGAACAGTTCCAGTACTATTCGAGAGGCCACGACTTGTTTCAAATCACACGAAAAAACTCGATTTGGGGATATGAAGCTGTAACCGAATCACTCAAGATTACACTTCAAAAAGGCACAAGAATCGCTCTTGAAAAAAATCCAGTTTATATAATCTCTTTGTGGAATGAATAATGTTACAATGATAATCATGAGTCCTTTTATAGAGGAACCATGGAAATTTAAAAACAAGAAAGTACACTCTTAAAGGAAATAAAATCATATAGGGAATAGTTATTATAATTAGCCTTATTTAGTATTATTGACCCATAATTCATGGCAATCCCATGATTATTGGTAATCCCTTGATCTATGGAATTCCTTCATTCAGGGGATATTGATTCATGGGATCCCTTCAATTAGGGATAGTAATTTAGGGGAGGTCCAATGCCTTGTAAGGTGCTCCTGGCCTTATGGTCCTTGGGACTTGTGATCCAATTTCCAGAAGAATGCATGGTTTATTTTGATCGTTGTTATAGAGTTCAGTAGTGGCATCCATTTGAAGTTTGGCACACTTTGTTATTGCCAATTGAAATTTACGGGCTCGGCTCCTAGTGATTGGTCCAGGAGGAATTATGATTGGGTCCAATTCCGTCATGATGGTCACATCATCCCCCCTCTCTTGAAAAGGTTGTCCCATCAACCTCTCGTCACCTACATCAAACGGAGACAAGTCAGAAACATTAAATGTAGCATGGACATTATACTCACTTGGGAGGTCTAGTTTGTAGGCATTATCGTTGATGCGTTCAACGACTTGAAAGGGACCATCGCCTCATGGGGACAACTTAGACTTCCGTTGTGCCGAAAATCTCTCTTTTCGTAAGTGAAGCCACACCTAATCACCGGGTTGGAAGACAATCTTCTTGCGGTGATGATTAGCAGCTTTTGCATTCCGCGCATTGGTAGCGTCAATTTCCTTTTGTACTGTCTTATGAAGCTCCTGAATTTTTTGTGCCCGATCCATGAAATTAACATTTTGTCGCTCACTACATGGTAGTGGCAATAGGTCAACTGGAGAAAGTGGGTTGAAGCCGTACACTACTTCAAAAGGGGACATGTTAGTAGCACTATGGATAGCTCGATTATATGCAAACTCAACATGAGGGAGACAACTTTCCCAACTATGAAAATTCTTTTTGATAATACACCTAAGGAGAGTGCCTAGGGTGCGATTTGTTACTTCCGTTTGACCATCTATTTGTGGGTGATATGAGGTAGAAAAAAGAAGTTTTGTCCCTAATTTTCCCCAAAAGTTTTTCCAGAAAAAGCTTAAGAATTTAGTGTCCCTATCAGATACAATCGTACGGGGAATTCCATGCATTTTAACTACTTCTTTGAAAAACAAATTAGCAATATGCATTGCGTCATTCGTCTTATTGCAAGGAATAAAGTGGGACATTTTTGAAAACCTATCGACAACAACCATGATAGAGTCCTTACCTTCTTTTGTACGAGGTAGCCCCAAAATGAAGTCCATACTCAAATCTACCCAAGGTGTGTCGGGTGTAGGCAGAGGCTTATATAAACCATGTGGTAGCGTTGTGGATTTGGCTTGTCTAGATGTAATGCAACGTGTAATGTGTTGTTCCACGTCCGCACGCATCCCTGGCCAATAAAATTTTTCCTGCAAAAGTTTAAGAGTTTTGGTGGCTCCAAAATGCCCCATGAGTCCACCTTCATGGACTTTGTGAGTTAAAACAGTTCGAATAGAACCTTGTGGAATACACAACTGGTTAGCCTTATACAAATAGCCCTCATGCAAATAGAAATCTTTAAATCCAGTGTTGACACACTTATTGAAGATGTCAGAAAAATCTTTGTCATTTTCATACAATGATTTTACCTGTGAAAACCCTAGCAATTGAGAAGTCAAAATAGTAAGAATGTGAGTGCGCCTAGAGAGTGCGTCAACTACGACATTATCCTTTCCCTTCTTATATTTTATCACATAAGGGAATGTATCAACAAAAGAAATCCATCTGGCATGCCTCTTATTTAGTTTGGCCTGAGTTTTTATATGCTTAAGGGACTCGTGATCTGAGTGGATAACAAATTCCTTTGGCAAAAGATAATGCTGCCATACCTGAAGTGCACGAACCAAGACATATAACTCCTTGTTGTAAGTTGGGTAGTTCAAGGCTGCGCCACCTAGCTTCTCGTTGAAGTATGCAATAGGTTGGCGATTTTGCATTAGAACGGCTCCAATACCCACACCTGAAGCATCACATTCAAGTTCAAATGTTAGTTCAAAGTTCGGGAGTTTAAGAATTGGGGCATGAGTTAACAAATATTTCAGCTTGTCGAAGGCTTGTTGTTGCGCTTCTCCCCAACTAAACAGTTCATCCTTGCGAATAACAACAGTGAGAGGGGCTGCAATAGTACTGAAATCACGAATAAACCTTCGGTAGAATCCCGCCAAGCCATGGAAACTACGAACTTCACGAACAGTAGTAGGGACAGGCCACTCCTGGATGGCTCTGATCTTCTCCTCATCGACTTGTATTCCCTGTGCGCTAACAACATAGCCAAGGAATAGACAACTAGAAACACAAAATGCACATTTTTCAACATTTGCATAAAGTTTGTTCTGCCGCAATAAAGTGAAAACTTCTCTCACATGCTCAATGTGTGCAGATAAGTCCTTACTATAGATCAAGATGTCATCAAAGTAAACAACCACAAACCTTCCTATGCAAGGTCTAAGAACATGATTCATCAATCTCATAAAGGTACTAGGGGCATTAGTTAAGCTAAAAGGCATGACAGTCCACTCATACAGCCCTAGCTTAGTTTTGAAAGCAATTTTCCACTCATCTCCTTCTCTCATACTTATCTGATGGTAACCACTTTTAAGATCAATTTTTGTAAAAAGAGCAGCACCCTGAAGTTCATCAACCATATCATCTAATCTAGGAATAGGATGTCTAACTTAATAGTAATTGCATTTATTGCTCTACAATCTACACACATACACCACTTACCATCCTTCTTTGGAACGAGGAGTACCGGTACAGAACATGGACTAAGGCTCTCACGCACCCAGCCTTTATCTGACAAGTCTTGGATTTGCCTTTGGATCTTTTTGGTCTCATCTGGGTTGGCCCTATATGCCGGCCTATTTGGCAATTGAGCACCATGTATGAAATCAATCTGATGTTCAATACCACGGATTGGGGGCAACTCGCTTCGTAGTTCCTTGGGTAGTACATCAGAAAATTCCTGCAAAATAGGATAGAACTCTGGAGGCAGGTTAGATTGCAAATCATAAGCTGTAAGGAGATTAAACTTACAAAGCAAAATGTAAATCCTATCACTCTCATCCTCTCCAATGGATCTAATATCCTTTCGAGTGAGAAATATGGCCTGGTCACTGTTCCTCCCCATTTGGGAAAGGATATCTTTGGTAGGTACTCCCTTACTTTTCTCTCGTTTTTCTGAGGGGATCACTCTTGGAACTCGCGATGGAGCGGTCATAGACGAACTTGCCATGGAATTTGTGTCTGCCTCTTGTATGGAGCTTTGAGTTCCCGCTGATTTTGAGACGTTCTCCATAGCCATCATTTCTTGAACATGGTTTTTTGTATCACTTCCTGATCCGTGTGGGCTTCTTGGAGGGTAAGGGGAGTCAAAGTGATCTTTTTGCCCTCATGTGGGAGCGTTAAAGTATTTTCCTTCCCAAAGTAGGTGACATTGCGATCAAATTGCCAAGGCCGTCCAAGTAGTCTGTGGCAAGCCTGCATTGGCACAACATCGCATACAACTTGGTCCATATAACCACGAATTCGGAAGGTTACCTCAACTTGTTTATTTACTTGTAGTTCCCCATTATTGGTCAACCACTGCAATCGATAGGGTCGCAGATGGGGCTTGGTGACAAGGTTCAACTTTTTGACCAATGTCTCACTAACCACATTGGTGCAGCTTCCGTTATCAATTATCATGCTGCAAATCTTGCCTTCGATTTTGCAACGACAGTGGAAGATGTTCTCTCTTTGCATTTGGGTTGGTTCCTCCTTTTGAAATGTACTAAGAGACCGCAGAGTTACCACCGTGATTTTGGAGTATTCATCATCTTCTTCAACAGTACTTTCCTCACATTCAAGAATTTGCTCAGCATCTACATCTCCTTTATCGTCGGTGACGACTTCACCCGCATCCGTCAAGATCATGGCCTTCTTGTTCGGGCACTCAGAGGCATAGTGCCCTTTCCCTTGACACCGAAAACAGGTAATTTCACGGTTTCGGGGATTCTTGCCATGGACATATTCCTTTTGTGGGTTTCGAGTTGTGCCAACATGCCAACACTTTTTCCCTTGTCAACATTATAAAATTTATTGACGTTAGTATTGGGGATACCTCGGGGCTCCAGGATAGTTTGGGTAGACCGGGGTGGTGATCGATTGAAAGAATCCCCTCGCCCCTTTCGCTTGCGTTGTTTCTCCAATAAAATCGCACGTTGGAGCAATTCCGACAAGTCAACATACGGGTGTAGCTCTAGAGTATCCCTCAAATCTCGGTTGATTCCACTCATGAATCGAGCCATGGTTGCTTCAGGATCCTCCACAATATCAGCCCGCATCATGGCTATCTCAAGCTCTTTGTAATACTCCTCTACACTTCTATTACCTTGAGACATTTGTTGAACTCGTTCGTGCAGCTCCCTCCTATACTAGGATGGTACAAATCGTTTCCTCAGAGCCTTTTTTAGCCCATCCCATGTGGTGATCCGGGCCTTCCCTTCTCGCCTTCGTTTCGTACTTAGTTGTTCCCACCAATTAAGGGCATAGTGGGTGAACTCCATTACAGCAATTCTTGTCCATTGCTCATCATCATATGTACAGCAATCTCGAATCAACTCCATCTTCTTCTCCCAATCAAGATAAACATCCGTGTCAGAATTCCCATTGAAAGAAGGAATGCTGAACTTCAAGTTCCTCATAGGATCTTGATTTTGCTTGTCTCTATTTGGAGGGGGTGGCTCCCATTCTTCATCAAAATTTTCAGAAGCGTCTTCCCTACCTCGGTATATAGGATTCCGCCTTGCAGATCGACTAGCATCAGGGGCGGGTCGGCCCTGCTGTCGCTCAGTTGTCAATTTCCGAATAGATTGAGCAAGATCAGTCAACATTGAGTGTACGGTGTCCATCTCGTCAGTAAGTTGCTTCGTGAATCGTGCTTCTAATGCTTTGGATAGCGCTGCGATTTGAGGATTAGGGCGCTCGTCTGGGTGTCCTTCATCTGCCATCAAAGAAAAAATGTAAAATAACAAGGGTATATCCTCACACAGGTTTCTTCTCTCTTGAATCGCGCTCTCCGGTATGTAATGATCTCGCCACAAACACTCTTTCACTCCACTCGTG